AGATGCCTCTGGTTTTGGTATGGGGGCCGTTTTATCACAGGAAGGACACCCAATTGCTTTTTTCAGTAAGCAATTTTGCCCTAAATTGCGACATTCATCAACGTACATCAGGGAATTCTGTGTTATCACATCTGCTATTCAAAAATGGCGCCAATACTTGCTCATTTGCCACTTCATCATCTACACTGATCAACAAGCCATCAAGGAATTGTTATCTCAAACTGTCCAAACTCCTGACCAACAGTCCTATTAGCCAAATTATTGGGATTCGACTTTGAGATACATTATAAACTAGGAAAAACAAACACCGTTGCTGATGCACTTTTCCGTGTTTCACCTAATGTAGACTCATTTTTCCTCATTTATGTGTCTCACATGGACTTTCTCCAAGATCTTAAACACACTCTCGCTTCTGATACTACTTTCTTGGATCTTAAGAGTAATACTTTGTAGGACCCCTCCATGTTCCTTGACTTTTCCATTCAACAGGATCTGATACTTTATAAAGGGAAAATTTGGCTTCCCAAGTCTTGTTCCATTATTCCCTTGATCCTCCAAGAGTTTCACTCGACCCCTTTGGCTGGTCATCCAGGAGCTACTCGTACACTGGCTAAAATACAGGCTAATTTTTATTGGGATTGTATGCGGAAAGACGTCATCTCTTTCGTTGCTCATTGCACCACTTGTCAACAAACAAAGATTCCCACCCAACGTTCCTCCGACTTGCTGCAACCTATCCCTCCTCAGCCACGTTGCTGGGAGATCTTTCTCTAGACTTCATAATTGGACTGCCTCCATATCAGGGCCACTCTACTATCTTGGTTGTGGTGGATCGATTTTCTAAAGGTGCACATTTTGGTATGTTGCCTCACTCATTCACCGCCACTAAGGTTGCTGATCTCTTCACTAATATGGTGTGAAAATTACATGGTCTTCCTCAGAGCTTAATTTCATATCGTGATCCTATTAGGTTCTTGAAAAAAGAGGTGATGTGGCCTACAAATTGGACCTTCCTTCTACTTCTCGGATACATAATGTGTTCCATGTGAGCCTTCTTAAGCCTCACCAGGGTCCTCTTCCTTCCCCTCAACCACTAAATCTTCCACCTGACATTAAAGACAATCAACCAATACTCACTCCTACTACTATTTTAGATTGGAAGTTGTCCACCGACACCGCTACACCACAACAATTGGTTTTAATTAAATGGCAGGGCCTTCCTTTGGAAGTGGCCACCTGGGAACCATGGGCACATATTCAAGCCCAATTTCACCTTGAGGACAAGGTGAATCTCGAAGACGAAGGAGATGTTAGGCCCACTTCTCCTAACAGGCCTAATATGGTTGAACAGCCAAATCTAGAGAATATTCAAGAGGAAATAGAAGATGATGCAAGACCCCAACGAATTCGAAAGAAACCCATTTACCTCAATGATTATGTAACCAAATGATTACGTGGCAGTATTTGTAGGAATTGGTTAGGTAGGAGGAAACATGTGTAACAAACTTTATTCCTTTTTACATTACACGTTGCTTGTATGGTGCTATAAAGACATTGTTTTTGTTTGAGAAAGGGGATGATGAATGAAATCTGCATAATTCTCCTCTGATATTCTACTTTCTCTTTGATTATTCCTTTCTGAATTCTATTCTAACCTTTCACTCCCCGCTACCTTTGTTGCCAAAGAAGCACTATAAAATATTGTCGGACGAATCATTAAATTATTTCTTAGATCATGATAAAAAAATAAAAGTACTTTTTTAAGGTCGAAGAAGTTACTTGTAAATAAAGCTAGCCGAGTGTTGAAAGTAATTAAGTTAATATTTAAATTCTAAGCATTTAATGAAATTATCAAAGTAACTAATAAGTGTAAAAAACAATTAGATATG